GCAATAGGTGGAGAGAGGACTAGAGTGCAACTCAGTGAGTACTTGTAGCATGTGTGAGGCTCTGGGTTGGATCCTGAGCACTGCAAAAAAAGCAAGCAAGGACAAAAAAAAAATGGAGAGAAACTACTTGCAGCATACATATAAAAGTAATAAAATCCAGAACATATAAATAACCTGTATAAATCAACTAAACAGAAACCCACTATAAAAATGAGCAGTGGAGCAGATACAATGGCATTAATCTGTACTCAACTATTTGGAAGCTGAGGAAGGAGGAATGCAAATTCAAGGCCACTTTGGGCAATTCAAAATAAAAGTCAAAAAGGACTAGGATGTAGTTCAGTGAGCCTTGATTTGTTCTCCAGAACTGGAGTGTGTGGGGGAGAGAAACAGTGATTTTTATCAGAAGAAAAACAAGTCATCCACAGAAAATAAAATTGCGCATAACTAGTAAAGTGTAACTTAAAATTCAAATGAAAGGCTTTGGGAGCCTTGTATCAGCTATAGATTTTGGTTGAGCCATTAAGACAGGGAAGCTGCTTTTCTGGGAACTCCTGGATGAAATTCCCAGGATGGCGAAAGCCCAGATCATCCTGGCTCCATACCTCAGCTCAAAGCCCCAGGTTCAAACAAGGCAGTCAGTTGGGAGATGGGCGGAACCTGACAAGCACCAAAAAAAACTGTTTTTCCCCCACATTCTTATCCTGTTTTTCCTGAAGAAGCTCCTTACTATCCCCCTTGGTCTGTACCGCTATAAATAAAGCAAGTGCAGGTTTTTCTCTTTGTTAGGATCAGACCCATCAGGGCTATCCACCTGTCCAGCCCTTGCTTTTTAATAGATAATTCTTGTCTTTGTCTTTAATTTCTCTTTTTTTTTTGTAATATTTATTTTTTAAGTTGTAGTTGGACACAGTACCTTTATTGCTGAGGATCGAACCCAGGGCCTCCAACGTTCTAGGTGAACGCTCTACCGATGAGTCAATATCTAAGCCCCTAATCTCTTAATATTACTTTCATAGCTTTTATTTCCCAGCCGGCCCACACATCTGACAGTTACACACTCCCTCCTCATGCAGGATGCGGGCAGAAAAAGTCATCTTTTATTCTTCAGATTGGCAAATGAAGAWTTTTCTTTCTTTTTCTTTTAAATTTTTTTTTTAGTTGCAGATGAAGACAATACCTTATATTTTATTTTTTGTGGCACTGGGGATTGAATCCAATCTGGGTGTCCCGACACTGCAAGGCACTCTACCAACTAAGCTATCTCCTCAGCCGCTATTTTATTTATTTTTGTGTGGTGCTGAGGAAGCACTCTACCAATGAGCTACAACCTCAGCCCAATAATTTTGTTTTTCTTAAAATTAGTTGATGCAGGTATGGGAAATGGAGTCCACCATTTGTAGCTGGTCGAGTATAACCTGGTTTATTTGCTCTCTTGGGAGGGCAATTTGGCCACATCTGATAAATACACACACCTTGGATCCAGAAGTTGCAATCTAGTGCTGGACAGGATGAATGGTTACTTTATCACAATACAGCCATAAAAAGGAATCCAGGAGCTTGGGCTGTGGCTCAGCGGTAGAGCGCTTGACTACCACTGTGTGAGACCCTGGTTCCTCAGCACCACATTAAAAAATAAATAAATAAAACAAAAGAATTGTGCCCAACTATAACTAAAAAATAAATATTAAAAGAAAATAAGGAAACCAGCACAATCCAAAGGAGCTAGATCTGGGTGTCCCGACACTGGAAATATATGTCTGAGATACTTCAAAATACTGCTTAAAACCCAGCAAGTTTATTTTTTGCTTCTGATATTTATGTTATGTTTCTAAATGATAACATCAAAGGTTTAGACTGCTGTTTGCAAGTAGTTTTCACAAATAATACCTTTGGGATTGGGTTGGCTTTATTCTCAGTACATGAGAACACAAATAGCATTGTAGCTGCTTTTTTATTTTCCTAGCTTTGGCTTCTCAGTCTTAGTGATATCTGAATGTGTTCTATATGAAGTTTGATAAGACAAATTAAAATTTCTGTAAAAAAATATTGGTAACAATCTTGGGCAGGGGCTGTGACTCAGTGGTAGTACACTTGCCTGGCATGTGTGAGGCACTGGGTTTGATTCTCAGCACTGCGTATAAATAAATAAGGGTCTATCAACAACTAAAATAATACTAAAAAAATTTTGATAACAATCTTTTTTTAAGAGAGAGGAGAGAGAGAGAGAGACAGAGAGAATTTTTTAATATTTATTTTTTAGTTTTCGGCGGACACAACATCTTTGTTTGTATGTGGTGCTGAGGATTGAACCCAGGCCGCACACATGCCAGGCGAGCGTGCTACCGCTTGAGCCACATCCCCAGCCCCATTGATAACAATCTTAAGGCAAATTAACAGTTTTTTATGTTGTTAATTATTTGCCCACCAAATATTATAAGTAATTAATGTAGAATTAAAAATGAAACAGCTTAAAAGTGTGAAATGGTTAAAAACATCTAGGATTGGGAAAAGTGAGTTCATCTATAGCTGTCTTCATCTATTCTGTCTTAGTCTACTGGTACCAAAATAAATAAATAAAGTACTTTTATTTATTTATTTTGGTACTAGGGATTGAACCCAGGGATGCTTTACACTGAGCCACATCCCCAGTTCCTTTTTTTTTTTTTTGGTGACACAGGGTCTCACTAAGTTGCTGAGGCTGGGGCCTTGTACCTGTTGTGAGCTTTCTGCCTCAGCCTCCCGAGTTGCTGTGATTGCAGGAGTGTGCTACCATACCTGACAATTAAAAAAACAACAACAAACAATAATTTATAAATGACTACAACAAAGGCTTATTGTTCACAGTGCTGGAGGCTGGGAAGTCCAAGTTCAAGGCACCAGTAGATTGTCTGGTGAGGGCTCACTCTTTCTGCCTCAAAGATGGTGCTATTTCCTGTGGATGTTGCTCGGTGGTAGAATACTTGCCTAGCATGCTTAAGGCCAGGGGTTACATCTCCAGCACCACAAAAAGTGGGGTGGGGGAGATGGTGTTATTGTTCTGCATCTGCACTTGGTGGGAGAGGTCAGGGAGCTCCTGAAGCCCCCCTTTTAAGGGCACTAAACCCATTCATGGGGTCAGAGCCCTCATGACTTAATCACTTCCCAAAGTCTCACCCTCTTAATACTGTCTTTGGGTATTAGTTCTAGCATATGAAGTTTAAGGGGAAGTCAACAGTCCCACCCTACAAAAGCTCCTATGCCTGAGCACCGCACACATTCACCACTGACTATTACTTTAAAGGTAAACTGAAGCTACGTTTCTCCTCCCACCAAGAGGAGAAACCTGTGATTTCAGCTTCATTCAATTTTGGCTAATGTGAAAAATGCTTTGAAATAGGCAACAAAGGGGAGAATGACCCCATATTATTCTAAAAGAAGCCCCATCAAAGTGTTGTGAACAAGAGGAACACGAATTTATTTAGAAGATGGGATGTGGAGCGGATGAAGTGGCAAGAGGGTCCTTCACAAGGAAGTTAAACCCTCAAATTGTAGAAGTAAGTTTAGTTTCAAGAAGTGTTAGGACTGGGGATGCAGCTCAGTAGTAGAGAGCTTGCCTAGCATGCACAAGATCTTGGGTTCCATCCCCAGCACCAGCCACAGAAAAGAAAAAAAAAAAAAAAACAAGTGTTAGAAAACCAAGGACAGCAAGAGGGAAACTTTCTTCCACAGTACTCAGCCTCCTTCCCAGCAGCAGATAGCCCACACCCTGCCTTGCCCCTCTGTAGAGATCTGAGTAGGTTCCCTGGAAAAAACTGTCAGGCTTAGCAAGGACGGATGGCTGTGAAATTTTCAAGGCACCAAAAGGAACTGGGAAATGAATGGACCTAGTGAGGAAACTAACTGGATGGGCCTCAAGAGGAGGGGGAAAGAGGTGGAACCTCCACTATAAGATCCAATTCCTGTTGAAAGGATGGAACCATAGGGTAGAGCAAATCAGGCCCAACTTTTACTTTCCCTTAACCCCAATCTTCCCAACTTTCTAAGGTTTTAGGACATTGATTAGGTGAAAATTGCTGATTCTGATGATATAATTTGAGTACAATGGGTGAAGAGGTACCTGGCCTAGTGAGGATTGTCTCTCACCCATTCTCTAGCCAGAAGTGGTCAGTGTCTAGTTCTTACTTGGAACACATCAATGAGTTGTTGTTGCCTCCAACCAAAGAAAAGAGCCAAAAAAAAAAAAAAAGATAATTCAGATTTGAACATATTGAACTTAAGTAACTTGTGGGTCAACCAGAGGGAATTGTCTTCATGAAAGGAGAAAAGCATGAGCTGGGGGTTTGGATGGAAGTGAATGAGGTCATCCAAAGAAAGCCTGCAGAAGAAGAGAGGGCTGTGACAGAGACTATAGGACACCAATATTTCATAGTGTCCCACCCACGAGGGACAAACCCCACAATTTGATGAAGTCAGGTTTATTGATTTTGTAATGAGACAGACAACACACCAAAGGACCCCCAAGAGTGTTCCATCAAAGATAAAAGGAAAAGTTACTTTCCTTATTATTATTATTGTAGGTTTGAGAGAGGGACATAAATTAGGTAAAGTTTGTTTTTTATTTTTTTACAGTTTTATTTTCATTTCACCCAAAATAGGCACTCATATAAATTTACTTAGTAAAAATTTTCATACATGGGAGTCCAATAACTTGACCAAGTTTGAACTTTTGATATAAAATTCACTACCTAGTTTTTTTTTTTTTTTTTTTTTTTTTTATGGTGTTGGTGATTAAACCCAGGGCCTTGTGTATGCAAGGCGAGCACTCTACCAACTGAGCTCTATCCCCAGCCCGCTACCTAGTTTTTAAAGAGAGAATTTTATAGAGAATGAATCCCATTTCTCCAGTTTCTTCCTCAAGGGTAGTTTCTATAAATGAAAAAGAACAGTTTGACATGATTTTCTGATGATAATTCTACCTAAGAACTTATGAGAATATTATTTCCCTAGATTAATATAGCAGCTTCTTTTTTTTTATGGACTGCTTCCTATGTCATCCTTGTGCAGGGGCCATGCTATCCTCTCTGTATCATTCCAATTTTTAATATATGTGCTGCTGAAGCAATCACAATATGGCAGTTTCTTGATTGAAGAATTATACTTGTTATTTTCCTGGTTGCCTTCTTAGAAACAAGTATACATTTTTAGTACAACCAACTTTTATTTTTCCATTGCCCCTAAGTTTAAAAATATTCGCATTATAATAGTTCAGAGTTCTACAGTTAAATAGTTTCAGTCATTTTCTATCATAACCAAGGCAGACTCTTTTTTTAAAATTCTTTCAGAATCCACTTAAGCTGTCAGCATCACATACACAGTAAGAACAGCTGCATAGAACCATAAATCTATTTGTCAACCCTTGGATCTTACTAATACATACATATAGCTAGATATGTGGAAACTCCAGGGAAGTGCTCCAAAGAGGCATCCCTCCCAATTTTGAGGTGAAGCTATCCTTCACAATGAAAATCAGTCATTCCCTGTCCCTTGTTTATTGTGAGTTTGTGACTTCTCCTGGAAGAAGCCACAACCTATGTCACAGGCCCACGTTGAGAGCAGGCTGTGTCCTGTCCTACCCATTCCCACTTTTGACATCATTCTGGCAAAGAACATACCCCTGGAGGTGATTTTGTGAAAAGTATAGCAGAAGTTTCTGTTCAAGGAGGCATAGGCAATGGGATTGACAACTGAATTGGCTATAACAGGAGAATGGCCATGTTCATTACCCACTTGGGTTTATCCTTAGCCCAAAATGGCTGAAAAAGAATGACACAGTTGATGGCATGTCCTAGTAGTCAGCACAGAGCAAAACTCCCACAGTCAAGGTCTGTGACATGGCAGTGTTATCTCCTGATGGACAGTGGTCCTCTAGTGGCCCATCAGCTTGGTGTGCTGACTGAAGCTGCATGCAGGCCACCATAAAGACCTTGATGTTGATCAGCAACATTATGAGCACTGAGGGCAGGACACAGCGAAAGAAATTAAAATATTGGTGCTGGGGTTGTGGCGCAGCGGTAGAGTGCTCGCCTCGCACATGTGAGACCCTGGGTTCGATCCTCAGCACCACATAAGAATAAATAAGTAAAATAAGGTTAAGAAAAAGAAATATATATATATATATATATATTAATGAGGACCACATTCTTAAAGAGCAGCAACTTTCATCTTTGGTTTCATCTTGGGACTTTGCAGTTGGTGGTACTGTCTTTACTGTTCCACCCTAGGAATGAAGTCAATCCAAAGCTAAAGGCAAAGACCCAGAAGACAGCAAAAACCATCTTCCCTCTGCTCAGGACCTAGTGACTAAAATTATACACCCAAGTGGGACACAGATAGGTGCCTGTCAACAGCCACAGCCATGAGGTTGAAGGGGAAGCTCTGAGCATGAGCAACAAGCAGGTGAGGAAGACAGCTGCCAACAGGTGAGGAAGACAGCTGCCAAAGTCAGTAGAGCTCAGGCTGATGGTGATAGCAAAGAGAATAACTTTGGCTAGAGAGGGACCAGGAAGTAGTTGGCAGGCACCTGCAGCCACTCATGCCCACTACTGTGCCCACTACTGTGCCCTCCAGCACAATGCCCACTATATGCAGCCTGTCTACACTTCCAGCAGCATGACCCAGCACCTCCACCTGGCCTTAGTCAATCACATCTGGACAGTAGGTGATATACTCAAGCAAATCAGAGGCATGTATAAAGGGGTCAACATCAGATATGGACTGCTAAGTGGATGCAAGGTGCTGTTTCCTTGGAAACAATGAAGTTAATATAGGTAGACTTCTTTAGAATTTTATTTATTTATTTTGGCAGCCCTGGGGATAGAACCCCAGGGTACTCTAACCACTGAAATATATCCCCAGCCCTTTTTATTTTTTGAGACCAGTCTCACCAAATTGCCCAGGTTGGCCTTGAACTTTGATCCTCCTGCTTCAGTTTCCCAAGTGTGTGGGATTACAGCTGTGGGCCACCCAGACTGGTTAGAGTAGAACACATGTTCAGAAACCCCTTATCTCAATCTCTGCCCCTGGGTGTAAATGCTGTCCATTTAGTGAGTTAGATCCCCCAGGCAAGAGTTTCATTCTTGTTTAAACAATTCAAACAGCTGTTTCCAATAGCCTATAATTTTAGAAAACAAGGCTGCTCAGTTAAGTAAGGAAGAAGTAGTCACTTAAAGCAAAGGGTTGTTAGGACATTTTTATGGTTGTGGTATGTATTTAGGAAAAATATTTCTTGTTAATTTTACCACCTTCAGGCAGGTGGCGCACGCCTGTAATTCCAGGAGTTCGGGAAGTTGAGACAGGAGGATCGAGTTCAAAGTCAGCTTCAGCAATGGCAAAGCGCTAAGCAATTCAGTGAGACCCTATCTCTAAATAAAATACAAAAATAGAGCTGGGGATGTGGCTCAGTGCCCCTGAGTTCAATCCATGGAATAATAATAATAAAAAAATACCACCTTCTATGTGTCTGTTATTTCAGCCTGATGAATAGCAGGGAAGATTTTTACAGTCCAAACTAATTTTGAGGTTTCCAGGGACAAAAACTGAGGAGGGAGCTGCAAACTGATAAGCACACTGAATGTCAGACCACAAGAAACTAAAACAGGAGCCTCACAAAGGCAGGGGGCAGGGTGACTGTTAGTATACAACAGGCCCAGGTCTGGTTTGCTGAGCTGTCCGATATGGTAACCGTACTGACAGCTATCCACTTAAGCTTACATTAATTAAAAGTTAATTAAGAGGGCTGGGATTGTATCTCAGTGGTAGAGTGCTTGCCTAAAACGTGTGAGGCACTGGGTTCGATCCTCAGCACCACATTTATTTATTTATTTATTGTTTTTTGTGGTGCTAAAGATTGACTTTGTGTGTGCAAGGCAAGCACTCTATCAACTAAGCAATATCCCCAGCCCCTCAGCACCATATTTTTAAAAAAATACAATAAAGGTATTGTGTCCATCTACGACTAAAAAAAAAAAAAATACATTAATTTCAAAATGAATTCAATTAAGTACAAATTTGAATTCATGCATGGCATTTATCCACATGTCAAGTGTTCAGTAATCACAGGTTAATGGCTATAGTATTGAATAACACAGATAAAGAACATTTCCATTATTGCAGTAAAATGATAATTGAGAGTGCAGTCTCCGAGGAGTGATGGGGAGGGGGCCCTGTGGGAGTTGCAAACTAATGGGATGTATTCTTTTTTTTTTAATTTTTTTTTTTAATATTTATTTTTCAGTTCTCGGCGGACACAACATCTTTGTTTGTATGTGGTGCTGACGATTGAACCCGGGCCGCACGCAAGCCAGGCGAGCGCGCTACCGCTTGAGCCACATCCCCAGCCCTAATGGGATGTATTCTAAGACACATCCTTAGCAATGCTTGTGCACTCCTACGCTAGCTACACGAATCCGCCACTCGAGGTTCAGAGCCTGAGGTTCGTTTGCAGAACCCCAGTAAGGTCCCCAAACTCTAATCTCCCAACAGGCGGCGGGTCCTTCTGCGACTCTGACTCTTGGACTTCTGGGAAACGTAGTCTTTACAGCGTCCCAGCCCCAGGAAGGTCCTAGCCGCGAACTACAGCTCCCATGCGGCGGTGCTTTGAGGTTCCGGTGGGATTGACTACGGTCTCGTGTCTGCGGCGGTGGATGCTAGGATCGACGCCTGAGGTTCAGTGGAACGACTGAGATGCTGAAAACAGGGTGAGGAGGAGATAGTGATCACTCTGTGCCTCCTGTCGCTCCTAACATCTCCGCCGCTCTGGGGCTGTGTGCGCCCCAACCTACGCGGAGCCGACTGAGTCCCCAGGGAGCCGTGGTGACAGAACGGCCACAACCGCTAGGGGGACTGGAGCGCGCAGGCTCTAATCTGAGGAGGAAGAGCCGCCGGAGGGTTCTGGCTTGGCCGGGAGGCTGGAAGCGCACGCGCAAATGCAGGGCCTCGAGGCGTCTGTAAACACTGAAGGGCGCCTGCGCAGTCGGAGCGTCTAGGGATCGACGCGCGGGGGCGCTTCAGCCAAGAGAAGAGCAATTAAGTAGTAATGTAGCGGTCCAGTCATCTTTCTGCAGCCTTTTATGATTTCCCAAACACAGCCCCCCTCATTGCCTCTCCTAATTAGATCCTCACACTGTCCTTTTACAAATGGGACAAATCAAAGAAAGCCACACAGCAAGAGTCCCAGCATCACAGAGAGTAAAGGACCAGGGAAGGACCAAGATTTCAGGGCTCTAATCCAAGCTTTGCCTTTGATTTGCTGTGTGACTTGGGTATTTTTGTTCCCTTGGGAACCTAAGCTTTCTCATTTATAAGTGGATTAGCTTGTTGGGAGAATCAAACGAGATCCAGGGATGAAAATGAAATTCCCAAGCAGTCTATAAAGGCTAAAGATTATTATTATAGTAAGGTGATTGCAGACTGAGGGACCCATTTCCTCTTTCTACAATTTGCAAAACTGAGAGTGCCAAAAGGGGTAGGGGCTTGCCTCAGGTCTGAGCAGCCTGTGAGCAAGAGTGAAACCCAACCCTCCTACTTTTGGGCCTGGAGCCCTTCCTTGAATCCAAAGGAGCAGTGTGTCTTTGTTGGATATAGGTATAGAGAAATAAACTGTTTCCCTGAGGGCCTGGGCTTCTGCACAATGGCCTATTGGAGGAGTGTCCTGCTCTGTTGAGGTGACCACCAGAAGCAGGAAACTGAGGAGGATCAGGAGAATCCTGGGGGGAAAAGAACAGTGTTGCTGGAGATGTAGAGACCCTGCTTCTTGGGACTTGACAAAGGTGAGCGCAGGAGCCCAGTTGTGACAGATGATGTGTCAGTATTAAGGGGACAGATTAAATAGAAAGGAATGGTAGGACTTGGACTCTGTTTTTGAGCTTGAGAGGCTCAGATGACTCCAGTTGGGCCAGTGGCAGCTGGAGGTGATACACCAGGTGGCCTGGGTGGTGAGGAGAGGAAGTGATGCACATTGAGGTGAGGCTGTGTGAGCCACTAGTACAAATGGAAGAGAGGTGGTACCTTGCCACCTGCAGGATCATGCAGCTGCTCAACAGGGAAGTGAACTTTTCTCTGTCTCTTG